CGATCCACACATCGATTAACATCCAGGTCCCCAATTACTGCTGACCATTACACCACAAGACAGACAGGCAGTCGGACAGAGAGACCAAGACAGAGGCAGATCACAATACACACTCGCCTCAGAGACGGTCATAACAAGCTCAAATTGACAACGTGTCAAGTAATGTGAGTGTCAGCGTAATTACAAGTCTGTGTCTAGCCGAATTTTTTCCTCATGAGTAATTTACAACTAAAAACCCGTGATCAGAGGAGACGAATAATTTAGTGTGTGTCACCTGGTTCATGTGATAGTGTGGAATATTTTATAGCATTATAGATTTAGTGTAGGAGCGGCGGCCGAGAGAACACAACGCTCGCCTCCTCCCCTGACGGTCGTTGGTTCTCGCTAGGGGCACCCAGCTGTCAGTGAGTGTATATGTTTATAGTTGAGGATGTGAGAACGGTCGAGTGTAGTGCCTTCAATGGGACTCGCTGTCACTGAAGACGAGGAAAAGTGTGTGTGTGTGTGTGTGTGTGTGTGTGTGTGTGTGTGTGTGTGTGTGTGTGTGTGTGTGTGTGTGTGTGTGTGTGTGTGTGTGTGTGTGTGTGTGTGTGTGTGTGTTTTGGTATAATTAACCCATAGTTAATCTGATTGCTCATTAACAAACAACTGTATGTCAAAAAAATAAATTAAGTCATGCAGGTTTTATTTTTTTTAAGCTCATCAATATTTTACACAATAAAAAAAATCGGAATTAATCGACGGACATAAAGGTATTGAATAGTTTCAGCCAATGTAGAGGGAGGAGTGAAGAACACGTCTCCAGCCACTACACGGCCTAGCTGGTCACTGATGAACACAACGCCACACTGTATCTAACCAAACAACCACACCGAGGAACTTTTTTTTTCTTCTCACAACTGACTGCCTAAGTAACTGAAGGAGTCCCTCGAAACCGAAAATAATTCACTCAACATCTCTGAGAATAACACAACAGTGCATCTTATTAACTCATTGTCAGTCAAGTTACCAACACCTCGGAACAATTTATTCACGTCTGTTTGAGGATAACCTCACTCACTCACTCACTCACTGCCTGGAGAACTGGGAATTAATTTTTTCCGCTCAAAAAATATTCTAAAGGAATAAAAAAAAAAAAACATTCGTCTACCTGTAAAATTCATCACTCAAAGTAAATCGTCATAAACTTGTTACATTTTCTTAAACTCGACCTCGTCAGAATCTTAAATTTCTGCTTAAGATAAACTACATTTCCATGTCTAGGCTTCCACCAACAGTCACTCCCCAGAGGTCTAAAAGTATTGTACAAATTGGCCACGATAATATGTCTTGTGTGTGTTGAGGCTGGACACTCGCTACAGCCACCACCGGCCTCAGCGACACAAGGAAAGTCCCGTCCTCTTGAAATACTAGGAGAAACACACACACACACACACACACACACACACACACACACACACACACACACACACACACACACACACCTGCACTACAGATGCACGAAGATCCTCCTTACTGTTCTCTTGCCTCTTATATATTAATATAACACGCACCTTAACACCATATTTTTCCTTGTCATTTCTTCCTCCTCACCACACCCCTCCGCCACACCATGTCCCCCCCTTCCACGCCACACTACACCCTTCCACACCACCTCCTTCCACGCCACGCCATACCCCATCCACGCCACACCATACCCCCTTCCACGCCACGCCACACCCCCTCCACACCACACTCCCTCCACGCTGCACCTCTCCTACCCCCACATCACGCCACCTTCTCTTCAGGTAATAATCTTATATATATACATCTACCGCCCACCAAAAACCCATCCATCTCAGACGTCGATCCTAAAATCAGCAGACATATCCTAAAATCACCCTAAATTCAGCAGACATAAGGTGGTCGGGACTCACGAAGGACACGGTTACAAAGAACACACCCGCTGCTATATTTCAGTGTCCGGTGTGTGCCAATAAACCATTACAGCGAAGAACACGAGTAGAAAAAAAAAACAATCTAATTTTATCAGTAAATTATTCCCTATGTGATATACGGCACAGAAAAAAAAAAAAAAGCCAAATTTGAAGGAAAAAAAAATGTTAGAAAAGGAGAAATGGTTTTGAGGCTTCAGTTCAATATTTCAGTGTGGCCGTTACAGTCTGAACTCTGAAAGTTGTCCCCCAGTCAGCGCCACACTTTTTTTTTCAATTTTAATACCTGGAGTATGTCGCCAAAACCTTTATACACAGGACGCATGAATAAAATACTCATACATATCAATCAACGTTATCATCACTACAGGGTGTGTATAATAGACGGGTTATTTTCTACAGAATGAATCAATAGACAAACTTCTTTAACTTAAGTAGTTTTTGTTTTAAAGGAAAAGTTGGTGTGGATGAGTTGGGAGCTGTGAGTAGTAGTGTGGATGAGTTGGGTGCTGTGAGTGGTAGTGTGGAGGAGTTGGGTGCTGTGAGTGGTAGTGTGGATGAGTTGGGTGCTGTGAGTGGTAGTGTGGATGAGTTGGGTGCTGTGAGAGGTAGTGTGGATGAGTTGGGTGCTGTGAGTGGTAGTGTGGATGAGTTGGGTGCTGTGAGTGGTAGTGTGGAGGAGTTGGGTGCTGTGAGGGGTAGTGTGGAGGAGTTGGGTGCTGTAAGTAGTAGTGTGGATGAGTTGGGTGCTGCGGTAGTGTGGATGAGTTGGGTGCTGTGGTGGTAGTGTGGATGAGTTGGGTGCTGTGGTGGTAGTGTGGATGAGTTGGGTGCTGTGGTGGTAGTGTGGAGGAGTTGGGTGCTGTGAGTGGTAGTGTGGAGGAGTTGGGTGCTGTAAGTAGTAGTGTGGATGAGTTAGGTGCTGTGGATGAGTGTGGATTAATTGGTTGCCTTGGTAGCTGGTGTGGTAGTGTGGATGACTTAGTTCCGGAAGACTGCAGAGTGAGATACCTTGGCAGTGGTGTTATGTTAGCGGCGCACAACACGACTAAGTGAATTACTGGTGTATGTGTGTGTATATGTGTGTGTGTGTGTGTGTGTGTGTGTGTGTGTGTGTGTGTGTGAATTACTGGTGTATGTGTGTATGTATGTGTGTGTGTGTATGTGTATGTGTGTGTGGATGCGTGTGCGTGTATGTGTGTGTCAGTAAGAGGACTCCACACAGCCTCCTCATAATTAGACCAATCACCCTGAATCACTTGGCCAACGATGTGATCCGCCATCAACCACTCGCTAATTACCTGCACTTCCCTCAACCAATTAATTACGATAAACAGAGCTCCCTTGATACCCGTTATCTGCCTGGTTACAGCTAAGTGGAATATATTACAAGCTAATAATATCAATGGTAAATCTAATACGCTGTGAAGGGTCCCTGAGATAAGCAGGCGGGTGAAGTGAGCATACCTGGGTTAACCTGGTATTAATATCCTTTAACTAATATGATTTTCAGATATACAATATGATTTTATTTCTTAATGAGGGTTATAGTATATGTGTGTTATTGTTATCCGGATAAGGCCTTCTATAATTACACACACAGATTATAATATCTTGTTGTGGCTTCGAATAATTCATATTATTCACGTGATTCAACACACACACACACACACACACACACACACATCCACAGACGTGTTTTTATATATTTTACAACATCACAACCTAGTTTATTCAGGCACGTAATATGTGAGGGCCTTGTTGACACATACACACATTACTTAAAAACCAACGGGGAAAATTTATTAATACTAAGTCAACATTAAGTAAACAAATAAATACGTGAGGGTTCCATTACAGTAATATGTAAACAGGGTATATAACTACGTATTTTCTCAACATAAAACAGGAGGGAAGATATATTTAACCCAGAGAACGGTAAAAGCAGCGCGCACACACACACACACACACACACACACACACACACACACACACACACACACACACACACTCTATGAATCGGAAGTCGCGAGTATATGAGAAAACTTTGACTGTATTGCTCTCTTCCTTGTTTACTTTTTCAATACCTGAATAACCATGTATTGGCTAATGGAGGAGGGAGGGTGGGGAGAGAGGGGAGGGAGGGTAGAGGGGTAGAGGGGAGGGGAGGGTGATTGTGTGATGCGTGTGTCTATGTGGCTGTCTGAGTGAATGTGTCGGTACTGTACGTAAGTTTGTATGCATGTGTAATGTGTATGTGTATGAATGCATTTATTTATGATTGTCAATATATGATTACACTCGTGCCTATGTATAAACGTATCCCTGTCCGGTGCTCAAGGAAGTGTGTGTGTGTGTGTGTGTGTGTGTGTCTGCTTGGAAGAATGTCTGTACTGTTCATTCACCCAAACGCAGCCAAGTTTGTGTCTACCACCATCACCACCACACCAAGAACAACCACAACTATTACCACCTCTCTTACCTCTACCACCATCAACACCACACCAAGACAACGACAACCACTGCGACTAATCATCATCAGTGTGTGTGTGTGCATGCGTCAACAACAACAACAACACACACTTATGTTACTTGTATATTATTTGTAATTCGAAACCCATTCCCCAAATATGTAACTGTATATTTTCAGCCTTCTGGCTGCCAAGCTCTTTCAATAAACCGTTAATTATTATTATTATTATTATTATTATTATTATTATTATTACAAGGAGCAGGTCGTAACCCAAATTATCCTCAGGTGAAATTATAATTTACGAGGCGGACGGGATAATATTATTACCTGCGTTCCTCACACCTACGATAATTATAGCCCACCGAGGTGTTGTCACAGTCGTCTCAGATGTAATTATCGTCACCATCTTCGTCACAATCATTATAATCTGCTTCACTTTAACATCAGTACTATTGTCATCATTGTAATTACTGTTGATATGAATTCTAAACCGACAGTAGCCAAATTATTTCAGTTACCACAATAATAATCTGACCGAAATAACAATGAATAATTAACAGCAAACAGCGACACAGTAATCATAATAGCAATCCCTAACCACAGCCACTGTCAACCACATCACCCTGAGTTAAGTGACGCCCAGACGGTGAAGCGAGTCGAGCAGCGGCAAGTGGAGGCGGCGGATGACCCTTGCGTCCCATACAGCGGCAAACACATTCTTCGTCGGGAGGATTAACCTGATAGGACTGAAACTGATCCTCACGACTGGCCATGGAGACTAGAGGAGAGGGGTGGGGGGGCACATAACCAAACGCTAATGAGAGATATGATGGAGTTTGAACATCTAGATAGGGAACTGAGTGTAGGTCTTCCTGCTGTGTTCCCATCGGTCAGGTTAACGAGGCAGTTGACTGACGCTACCGTGTGTGTCATGTTTCGCGGTTACTATAGGGTGTGATGGGTGACGGCTATGTGGCTGTATAGTTTGTTGAGACACAGGGCAACTTCTTTTGAGAGAGAGAGAGAGAGAGCACCTATCATATCAAACTAATAATCATACATAAACTTATCGTCGTTCGTGACCTACTTTACCATCTCACCATTTTCAATATAAGGAAACTTTAAAACATTGTTAAAAAGATATTCAATCTCGTGTTCCGGAATCACAAAATACAAAAGCTTTAACGAGAATAAACTGTATTACAACTCTACCTTTAGGTGCAGCAATATCGGCCACTGATATTGCAATACCAGATAATTGTTGAAAAATTCTGCATGCTAAAAGCCCCTTTTCACACGGCATACATTGGCTATTCAATAATGTGAATAGGACACTGTTAAAATAGAACATAGAAACTCAACTCTGATAATTGATTAAAGTTCAGCATTAAAACAAAATGCCAATTACATATATTTTTTTGCATAAACAAAGTGTTAGTCAATGGTTGTAACACGCCATAGAAACGCTGCAACCCCATCAAAAGGTCATGAAATATCCAACAGACTAATCCAAGGATTACCTCAACTAATCCGTTGTAATTAGACAGGGTTACTGCGAAATTCTCTGCAAATCCCAGGGAGCAATGTGAAGGCTCGTTGGAGGATTACCTGAGTGCCTGGTGATTGTAGTCTACCTGTGTTTGTTGAGGTGGTGAGTGGCACTGTATGTTGTTGGTGGTGAATGGCACTGTGTTGGTGATGAGTGTCACTGTGTTGTGTAGTTGGTGGTGAGTGGCACTGTTGTTGTTGGTGAGTGGCACTGTGTGGTGTTGTCGGTGGTGAGTCGCACTGTGTGGTGTAATTGGTGGTGAATGGCACTGTGTGGTGTTGTTGGTGGTGGTGAGTGGCACTGTGTTGGTACTGGTGTCACTGTGTTGATAGTGGTGGTGAGTGGCACTGTGTGTTGGTGGTGGTGGTGGTGATGATGAGTGATACTGTATGATAGAGGTGGTGTGTATGGCACTGTGAGTATGATAGAGGTGGTGGTGTATGGCACTGTGAGTATGATAGAGGTGGTGTGTATGGCACTGTGAGTATGATAGAGGTGGTGGTGTATGGCACTGTGAGTATGATAGAGGTGGTGTGTATGGCACTGTGAGTATGATAGAGGTGGTGGTGTATGGCACTGTGAGTATGATAGAGGTGATGGTGTATGGCACTGTGAGTATGATAGAGGTGGTGGTGTATGGCACTGTGAGTATGATAGAGGTGGTGGTGTATGGCACTGTGAGTCGTCCTAATCAACTTTCAAACTCTTCTCTTAATCATCCTCCAATTCTTCTTTTTCATCATGTCCTTCTAGTTTTCTTCCTCTTCCTTCTCCTCCTGAACTTTAACTCCTTCTCCTCGTTTTCTCTGTCTCCCTCATCATCGTCCTCCTCAACCTCTTCCTACACCTGAGCTTTAATGAGCGTCTAGCCTCTTCAGGTGACCTTCGCCCAATCATTTATTTATCGTTTGATCTTTACTCTCGCCCTTAATCAATTATTCAGCCTCTGCTAATTCATTCCTTCTCGTTTGAACCTTATTTGATTATTATTGAGAATTTAATCATAACAAAATTATGAATTAGTCAGAAGTGCCAAATCAGGCGATAAGAATCTCCTAAATCTGAAAGCTTTTTGTGTACATCAATTTCGTTTTCTGATGCGTAAATCTGGCATAAAGAGCTTGGCGAGTCTGCCATTTTTTTATACTTCTTATTATGAACCTGTCGACGTACAGCCCCGCGTCATATGACAATGCCAGGTTTACAAACAGTAAAAATAGAGTGAAAAAAGGAAGCGAGTCCCGTAGACATGACTGCCTGTTAGGGACACTGAATAGTGTACACTGTATAACAATCACCCGTTACCCATGGAAGCAGCATGGCCGACAATGCACTTGACTACCTTCGCTTTCCTAGCTTTGTAAAATTAGGCATCCATTTACAGCTGGGTAGACTGCGAGTGTCCCGGAATCTAACTAGCGACCCTCGGTGAATAGTGTGGTGCGTTTTGACGATATTTTGTTTACATAACATGAACATGGTGATGTGTCCCCTATAAATAACATACGCAGCGGAACACGGCACTGTAGTGCAGTGTTTATTAATCAAAGAATGGTGGTATAGCATCCAGTTGTTCCATATCAAGACACATTCTTTTTACCGAACATAACGCTGTATTTATCTACCTGTAGTACTTACACATCCTCACTGTATTTGTTATGACACATACACAGAAATATAAGGAATTTATTGTAAATGTTAAGCGTTCCAGGTGTTCATTATATACATGGTTTCCTTCCCTCTTTCTAATGTTATATGTATAACCCGAGAGACATGGCCGTGTCATCAATAATGGCTCTCATTTCAGTTCTCATTAGGCTGGGACACAGGCCTACCTGGCAAGTCTCTCAGGAGGAGAAGTTCCTGTTCTTGTCTTTCTGCAAATTTTAATACTCCCACGGCTATTACTCTTCACCACTACTGCCTTGAATATTCCACTGTCAAGAGACTCCCCACAGGGAGCGACTCTGGCTATAATATGTCACCATCTGTTTATACCTGATAATTTCGACTAATTCTGGTACGCTAACCACCACACACTGCTAGTGTTAACCCACTTGTCTTTACTTCGCCTCAGTTACCTCCATATAACAAGTCACATCGTGATCCGCGAGACACTAGGGCAACAAAGTTGTTAAAGGCAGAACATGGCAAACCAAACTATGATACGGAAGGTGTAATATCACACAAGTAGACAACACCACTGAACTAAACAGAAGGTGGAGAGCAGCTACCATGTACAGTACCTAAGGATACACGGGTACGGATGATGGAAGGAGGTAAACTTGTAAACACCAGCCGCTAAGTAACCTTAGACTTAGAGCGACTTGTAGAGCGATCACCGAGTGACCTGAGGACAGGTATGAGGTACAAGAGGGTACTTACCGCCCAGGTCAACTTGCGCCGCAGCTTGAGCAGAGTCTTCGTCGTTCCTCGCGAGACACTGATACATCCCCCCGTCTTCACGAGACACCTGGAGAGATAAAAACACTTCTTGAAGTATATACAGTATGTTGGGTTTGGTAACACTACCACGAAACACGATTATGCGGGCCAAGAATTACATGGTTTGTTCCTCTTCTAGATTTCTAAATCTTGACTGTTGTAAACAACCAAAACCAATGATAGGTACCTCATGACCCTGGCAGTCCACACACCAAAGATTACACCACCTTCACGATGCGGAGTAATGTTATTTAAATTCATATCAAATGGATGAAAAAAATCAAGGATGCACACACACACACACACACACTCAACAACACAATACACTTAACCCACCTACGACACTCTCGGATAAAACGGTCACCTAACAGTAATACGTTGCTGAAAATACGAGACAAGCTCACCATCATAACAATAATTCACACAATAAAACAAAAACAATACTTACAACACAGAACCTTTTAATGTTGAAGGCTGAAGGGGATTTTAGAGGCTACACTTGAGGGAGTTTTAACACTATAACGACTGTGTCACTGGTTCCTTGCCGGTGTACCAGACTCATTCCTTGGTCCATGTCAGATAACAACTTACTGCTTAATGGTTGATTAATAATCGCCAGTTTCTAATCACTACGATCATAAATAATTTTTTTATAGTGAATTTCCCCCTTTTGGGAATATAGTTTTAGTTATACATATTAAAAACAACAACAATACAATACTGTTCGTTATATACACCAGAAAAATACATATACAGAATTGTTCCACATTACTGGAAACAATTATAGTTAATGGTACAAAAATTCAGCGAAGTCAATTTAGTTTGACACGGGATTTCAAGCAAGAAGGTAACTGTATTCATATTGATGCTAACCTCCTCTATATTAATTGTGTGTGTGTGTGTGTGTGTGTGTGTGTGTGTGTGTGTGTGTGTGTGTGTGTGTGTGCGTGCGTGCGTGCGTGTGTGCGTGCGTGCGTGCGTGTGTGTGTGTGCGTGTGTGTGTGTGCGTGTGTGTGTGCGTGCGTGCGTGCGTGCGTGCGTGTGTGTGTGTGTGTGCGTGTGTGCGTGTGTGTGTGTGTGTGTGTGTGTGCGTGTGTGTGCGTGCGTGCGTGCGTGTGTGTGTGTAGCCGATTATTCATTAGGTGTGAATATGTAACCTCTCGCTCAGAATTATTACACCTCTCAGATTCATTACCACATCACCTGAATTACTCGGACGCCAGGTGAACTATATTATGTGAACCTAATATTACGTTAATTCCTCACGTTAACATTTCACAATTTCATATATATATTTTTTACGCACTTAACCCACTGAGTAGGATGATTTAACCCACTGAGTAGGATGATTTAACCCGTTGAGTAGGATGATTTAACCCGTTGAGTAGGATGATTTAACCCGTTGAGTATGATGATTTAACCCGTTGAGTATGATGATTTAACCCGTTGAGTATGATGATTTAACCCGTTGAGTATGATGATTTAACCCTTTGAGTATGATGATTTAACCCGTTGAGTAGGATGATTTAACCCGTTGAGTAGGATGATTTAACCCACTGAGTAGGATGATTTAACCCGTTGAGTATGATGATTTAACCCGTTGAGTATGGTGATTTAACCCATTGATTACGACGACTTAACCCGTTGAGTATGATGACTTAAGCCGTTGAGTATGATGACTTAACCCGTTGAGTATGACGATTTAACCCGTTGAGTGTGATGATCTAACCCGTTGAGTAGGATGACTTAAGCCGTTGAGTATGACGATTTAACCCGTTGAGTGTGATGATCTAACCCGTTGAGTATGATGACTTAAGCCGTTGAGTATGATGACTTAACCCGTTGAGTATGATGATCTAACCCGTTGAGTGTGATGATCTAACCCATTGTGTATGGTGAATTAACCCTCTGCGTACTCGAGGCCTAGACCGTCATATTACAGAGGTGAAGATACAGTACTCAGGAGATTAAAGCATCGTACTCTAGGGGTTGATATAGCTTCCTCAATAGGCTAACTCATTATAGCCTGTAAGCTTAGTATCGTACTCAGGGGGTATGGTATCGTACTCGGGAAACCTGCTACCGTACTCAGGTAACTTGTTATTGTACTCTGGGAACTTGCTACCGTACTTAATAAACTTGCTATCGTACTCAGGGGGGTAAAAAAAAACACCATTGCTATATCGACCTAACAGCAAAAGCTGATTTGCATACGAGATTAATAGCAGACTCGAGATAATCCAGATCATTTGTACAACTCTGTAAGTAAAGACTGAAGTGATCTCTTAACACCGACAACAGGAAATAAATAGCCGGACAGAGTTATCGCCATAAGGACGGACCGATAAAATACATTAGGTGTGTGTATTAGTGCAATATGAACATCGTTATGAAGGACTATTAAACAGGGTATGTGGTGGGGGTGTGTGGTGGGTGTGGGGGGTGTGGGGGGTTGTGGTGGGGGTAGTGGTTGTGGTGGGGGTGTGGGGGTTGTGGTGGGGTGTAAGGTGGGGCGTGTAGTGAAGTGTAGGGTGTGGGGTGTAGGGTGGGGGGGTGGGTGTATTGGTGGGTGGTGGGTGGGGGTGGGGGGTGGGGTGGGGTGTAGGGTGGGGGTAGTGGGGTGGGGGGTGGTGTAGGGGTGGGGGTGGTGTAGGGTGGGGGGTGTAGGGTGGGGAGGTGGTGGGTGGGGGGGTGTGGGGTGGGAAAGAGAGGTGTGGGGGGGGCTGTGTTTATTTTGGTCTTTTAAAGCAGTAAAGAAAGAAAACGTGCCTCGGTTCACTTAATTTTTAGGTGGGGGGGCGGACTGTTGTAAAATGTCTTGGGGCCACTTTTGGGGGTATTTAAGTTCAAAAGTGGACTTAAGGTAACTTTTTGTCACTTATTTTAAAAGAAAAGAGTTTTTCTTAGTCTACTTTTTTGGATATTATAAAAAAAATACGAGTCATGGATGATAAATGACAAATGTAGCGCGCATGTCCGAGGTGTTCACATACAGAGAGAAAACAATTATACAGACAGACATACATACAGTACACACAAAAACATCACGCACAAACACACATATTTACACAAAAATACCTACAAATATACAAACAAACACACACACACACACACACACACACACACACACACACACATCGCCGTCTGGTAAAGTAAATAATGATTTTAAATATTTCGTCTCTTAATTTTGCCACATACTAAAAGAAAAAAAAATGGCTGAAGTAACAAGAGTGTATTCTAAGACCTGTTAACACGTAGACCAGCATAGTATCACAACAGTCAAGAAGGTTACTCACCTCCACCAGTCGTCTACCTCCGTCTACAGGACCTACCACAACCTCTCCAACCGATAATTACTACTGAGACCATTAACTAAACACCATAAACAAACACTGGGGTATTAACCTGATATAATTTACAAAGCATTCACCTTTACCAAGTTAAAAGTCATTTAAATCATTTACAAATATCACCTCACACCTTTACCAAGTACCATTTACAACTCATTTACGTAGATAAGCTGAGGCCTTAACCAAGACTCCTTTACGAGTCATTTACAAGAATCACCTGAGGCAGGGAGCGGCAGACTCGCTAATTAATAAAAAAAAATTACCCTCCAGTCAGAGCCTAATTAGTCTTAGCTCAACAAGGATTTGTGATTGGGTAATAAGAGGCGCAGATTAGCAGGGGGGGCAAGTAGAACTGAATTAACGTGTGTGTGTGTGTGTGTTTAAGTATGCATAGTGAATGTAAGTGTGCATAAAGTGTATAAGTGTGTATAGTGCAAGTGTTTAAGTGTGAAGAGTGTATAGATGGTGTCAGTGTGAGTACATACATGTAATCAATACTCTCATCATCTGCCCGGCCAAATAAACTTAATCCCTAAATCATTAATCCTTTAGAAGCTTCTTAAAACTTATAATGGAAAAATAGTAATTGGATTAGTAGCAAAAATAATAGGATTAAAAACAATCGTAATAGGATTAGTAACAGTAGTAATAGGATTAATAGCAATCGTAAAAGAATCTTGTGGTAGATCTTTCACTGAGAATATCACACACACACACACACACACACACACAGACACACACACACACACACACACTCAATCATTCACACTCCATTTTGTACTGAAAGCTTCTGTTAAACGATCCCCTCTTGAGGCCACTATGTAATATACTGTACTCGTATACACCAATTCAGACCTCTGTATCATTTCAGTATTTTGGCTATTGTAGTCTGTTTTTCATACACCGTGAACTATTATTTTCTTCTGATTTTATTATTATTATTATAACGCACACACATACACATATACATAGACAGAGAGACAGTCACAGATAAAGACACACACACACACACACACACACACACACACACACACACACACACACACACACACACACACACACACACACACACACACACATTGTGTTATAAGATTGTGTTCTTGTTTACTTATATCAGATGGGTACAGTAATATATAATTTATCTGTAACGCATTTTGTATTTTTCTTACAGGCTAAAACATTATTTGCCTTTGGTTCGTAAACACCACAGAATTCACGTAAGTTAACTTTTTAATGAACGACAGATAGCTATAAATCCGTCCAAACACACGGCGCCTACAAGCCAAATACAACATAGCTTCACCTACGTAATTCAATACTTAGCTCTCATGTGATATTCTTATCACCTATTTACCTCGCCTACCGTATACGGCAAATACACACAAAATATAAAATTCTCCTCACCTGTCCAATATGAAGGGTCTTGTCGTAGGTAGTGACGCGGGGGAGGGGAGGGAGGGGCCGCCCGTCCTTGTACCAGGTGACGGAGTTGACAGGTGAGCCGGAGACCCGACAGGAGAGGCGAGTAGGGCGGCCCAGGTCAACCCGCTGCAGGCTTGGCTCCACCGAGGCACTCAAACGTTCTCGAACTTGTATGTTTACTCTGAGGAGACACACGGAAATATATACACTAACTAAAAAAGATTGTCAATGGTCACGGCTCCTTTGGTGTATATCTACCCAATTGATAACCACAAGACTAAAAAAAAATGTCATTAAGAACTCCTCAATAAGCATAAGTCAAAGGAAATATTTATCACAGGAAGGTAAACATTCACATTAACAACGGTAAGAAGTGACAAACATTACATCTGTTTGGTACGAAATAGTTAGATGTTTTAAGTTGTTACAGAGAGAGAGAGAGAGACTTGAGGGTGTAGTCTATTTTACGGAGTAAAGAAAAACTAATTTTACTCAGACATGAGAGCAAATTAGAATGCATACCACAGTTTTATGGTGCACAACACACACACACACACACACACACACACACACACACACACACACACACACACACACACACACAGAAGGAACATTACGTCACCTGCTTGATGGTGTGTCAAAGGTAAATTCTCGTATATTAGGAAGTATAATCAAGGACACTCACACACACACACCTGCCAGGAGAGTAAATCATTCAGGTGTTCGCGAGAGGAAACTATTCATTAAAAGAAGATAGGAAGTCGACCAAAGAAAATATTTACAAGTGTAATTTTGACTCATCTTCAAAAGGTAATTTCTGACGATTTCGTTCCATCTAATTACGATTATATCTTGAGGTATTATAACCTGAATCTGCCCCGTGTTTGTCCAATTGTGTTATGAAGTCTTGCCTCCTTCCCCTCCCTCCCCACCTTCTTCCCCTCACTCCTCACCTCCTTCCCTGCTCCACCTCCTTCCCCTCCCTCCCCACCTTCTTCCCCTCACTCCTCACCTCCTTCCCTGCTCCACCTCCTTCCCCTCCCCCTTCCCCGAGCGCAGCAGTATGCAGGATGGCGCTCCTTCCTTGTTACTTAAAAGCATAAAAAGTTAGGTGGGTGTGTGGTGTGAGTGTGTTTACTTTGCTGAGTTACTGCACGAGGCAGATTAAGTCGAGTTGGGAGTCTGTAGCCTCTTAATCAAGTTGGAGCCTTCAAGTAATACTCTTACACAACAACCACTTAATGCTTATTATGTCTTCATTATTAATCCCCGCCCCTTAGCCGAGGCAACTCTTTCTTGCAATCATGTCTGTCTGCCCTGCAGGATCTGTGGGAGGGGATGAGACTCTTCATTGATTGAAAGATCATGCGCCAGGATAATGTTTTAGCCAGTGAGGTTTTCGAGTGGTTTGGTCATCCTGGGTTCAACGGTTTATCAGTTAATTAACTCTTGTGGTTATTGTGTAGGCGTTAACTTCTGCATCTTAAACATAAATTATCGCCTACATGGACTTTCGGTCAACATTCGTGCTTGTGTGTGTGTGTGTGTATTGCGGTGTGATGTGGTGTGTTGTTGGGTAGTGGTAGGTGTACTTTCCAACAAGCTTAACCCTTTAGCTGCGGGAGGTCACCCAAAGCTGAATAAAATCGTCTGGCGGTAGCCAGAATAAAATGACATGTGCGCGAAACGCAGCGAAAGGGTTAAAAAATATATAAAATAAAACGAAAAAAAAAATCAGATGTTAAGCCCTGGGGAGTTATTAGAGAAAGAGGCTGCGTAATTTAATTAGATTACAAGTCCTGGGAGATAATTTGGGGGCGGCAGTATGCTAATGAGGCAGTAAGTTGGAGAAGTTTTGTAGGCGGACAATAAGCTAAGGTGTTGAGGCTGAAAATATGGCGAGGTGAAGAAAAGTGCAAGGCTTGATTCATATAGTGTATGTGCTCTCTCTCTCTCTCTCTCTCTCTCTCTCTCTCTCTCTAACTTAGTTTTTTCTCCAGGTTGTGTGTGTGTCAGTATGTCAATCACTGTCAAAGAGGAAAAAATAAGCAAAATATGTTTGGAGCGAAAGGTAAAATAAATTAAAAATTAATGAAGAGGATGGTGAGAGAGAGAGAGACACTCACCTGTAGGAGTCGGTGCCGGCGGAGTTGTTAGCGACACATAAGTAGTGGCCGGAGTCGTCCTGGCGGGCGGCAGAGATGACTAACTGACCCTCCACCACCTGTACACGCCCGCTGTTGCCCACGTCCACACGCCCGCGGGCCTCATCCTCGTGGTACCACCTGCAAACAAAGCAGCACAGGTGAAGGTGAGCCGAGGTGAGGAGAAGGAAGATACAAGGCTAGAGAAGCTGTTTTGTTTTGGTTAGGCAATAACACAAATATGGAGGACGCAAACCCGGATTATTAAGTCACCCTCATTAGTCATTTACCCCTTGAGTACAATGACTTAATCCTTTGAATAGTAAGATGGCAATGTACTCAATAGGTTAAGTCACCGTATTAGAAGGATCAAGATGTCTTACTCAAGGGGCTAATTCATTGTATTTAAAGGGTAAGATATCTTTGGGGACACTCATTATACTCATCGTACTCAAGGGTTAAACTTGGCAAATATTAAACTTAAAAATATTATTCCAAACTTTCTTGATTAATAAAGACAAACCTTCGCTAAAGTGAATTAAACACTGTTCCCCTGACACACTTCAGGAACGACATGAGATATGAACCCCGAGAGTATCGACTCGTGAATCCCAAGCATACACGAGTGAGGAGAAGCCCCCCCCCCCCCTAACTCGCGAACTTTTTAGGGGATGGCGGGCGGGCTATGGGCGTTGAAGAGGGTGTTCGGGGCTGGAGGGAGGGGGGAGGTTCAAGGAGTTACTTGTGCAGTTACATCACAGTATTTATTAAACAAGGATGGTATTCCCAGCTTGTGCTACAGTTCAGGTTTGAGCGATTCTATTCATTTGTTTTAATGGAGCTCTCACGCAATCTACCAGGGTGATAGGGAGGCGGACTTGAGTCTGGATATGGTGTCCTCTTATGACGGGGTGACTCTCACGAGCCAATAAATAACGGGTGTATTTGATTATATTTACATAAGCATCACATTATTAATATAATCCCACCTGCAATAAAAATTCCCAGGAAGTTGGCAAACTATATTTATTAGAAATAACATTAAATTGTGAATAACAATGATAAGTCAGTCGGCAGCAGTTCATATGTTGCAAGTTTTTTCTGTCTGGTTATAGTTTAATACAGATTACCAAATAAATTCTCAAGATTGTCAATTCGCCGAGTAATGGTCAATGTCTTCTATATCCTGGGGTCGGAGGGGGAGGTCTCTGTGCACGCTGGACAGAGGATAGGGGACAGTCGCACCGCCATACTATTGTTTTAAGTAAGAAATACTCAATCTCTGGTGGAACTGGGGACCCCAGCCTACAACACTTGTTGTTAGGGACAATGTCTGTTGTATTATGCTCTTATTATTAGATAGATAGATAGATAGATAGATAGATAGATAGATAGATAGGTTTATACGGTGTAATCAACTGTTTCAGCCTTACATTGTCCACGGCAGGACAGGTATTATTCACGCCACGTTAGATGAATGAAAAGCGTCCATACTACATCAGTTAATCTATGTAGACGTTGCCGGACCAGGTAATGAGTCAAATTATATCATTGTGGTCCCAGACTACTGTGTGCACCTCCCGTCTCACCCAGTAACTTGAGAGGCTTTGGACTCACGCTCCGATATTCTCGGGGTTCACACCTCACGGGAAGAGTGGAATGACAACACTGCACCACAGTACCCAGGTAATGAAGGAACGAGGTACAGTACGTGTAACGAATGAAACAACTCACTACTGTCAGGAATGTTTGTTCCGGAGGGTGATGTAAAAAAAACTAATATTGTTTACATTATAGACAGTACACTAGAGTAAAATTGGTAGTGTGAGAGGAATACCCTGTCAGTAACCACCAGGGCTGGGAAGGTTTAGCTGTGCCCGGTGTATAGGGACCTTGATTTGTTTGGATGCACCAAAAAGGTTTAATCATCCACCACTGAAATTTATTTGTAATCACTGTTGTTATGTGCTGCAGTGAGAGTAACTATTTGTCCCTCTGGCAGAATAAATATAAATCATTTTTATTTGATATAACACCAGTTTTTGTTTCCAACTTTTTACATCATACATAAAGTATAACAATACGTTGGTAGCCAGCCGGACCACTGGCCTGACGCGTCCCACATACTGTACACTAGCCGTAATTTTTACTTGAATTTCTCACCCTGATAATACCCATTTATGGTTAAAAGATGAACGTTCCCGCACTTCAGACTCGCCCTGGACTAGCCTCTAGCCCTGGCTCTGCCCTGGACTAGCCTCTAGCCCTGGCTCTCCCGGGACTAGCCTCTTGCCCTGGCTCTGTCCTGGACTAGCCTCTAGCCCTGGCTCTGCCCTGGACTAGCCTCTAGCCCTGGCTCTGCCCTGGACTAGCCTCTAGCCCTGGCTCTGCCCTGGACTAGCCTCTAGCCCTGACTCTGCCCTGGACTAGCCCCGCGCATTACCCTGAGGATTCTCCTAATTTACTTGCCATAAACTAGCCAGGACTTACGTGACGGAGGGGGTGGGATGCCCCCGAGCGACGCAGGGTAGCAATAGGTCGTCCCGGGTCCATGGTCGTATTTTGTCACGTCGTAGTAGGAGCTGTGGACGACTGAGCATGGGTTCACCTGCGAGGAAGAGAGAAGAAGAGCGAGTTACATCACAGCGTCCTCCCTACCTGACCTGTAGATACAAGGATGAGATTGAAGAGAGAAATGATAATAATGGTGTCTTAGAAATAGGCAACCTCCTGGAGTAATGCCAATTAATAGTTTTAATTATTATTATTATTATTGTTATTATTATTATTATTATTATTATTATTATTGCCAGTGTATGTATGTATGTATGTATGTATGCATGTACGTATGTATGTATAGAACTTAGAGGAAGGAAATGATATACCACAGGAAGTTTATGAGTAGCTCCAGAAATAACCCACCACACCTGCCCTCCTCTACCCCCCTATTTTTTTTTTTTTTTTTTCAAATTCAAATGAGATTCAGGATTTAGGGTTTAATTTGCATATCTGAAATATCATGCGCTGATTCCGATTTTACTTTCCAAATAAAAAATGGTATTGCTGACTCTACGCGCGACTCAACCGGTTGTGTTGCATGGCAGGAAGAAAATAATAACAGCAGACCTTCGTGAGACTGAGCCCTCACACTCACTGATGACGCTGCTTCCTAATACACCAAGGAAAAGTGAATACATTGTGACGCTGAACCTTCCTTTTAGTAATAAATTGTGAAGCACACCACGGCACCATTATTTATGTCCTCTACATTATATAAATTCCCAGCCAAAGCACACCAGTATTATTTACAAGCTAACCTACATCATATAAATCCCCAAACAAACCAGAACCAAATGTATTTATGTATATCCTTACATTATATAAAATTACCAGTCCTTATAATATGTCCTCCTATATTATATAAATTCTCAGCCAAAACACAGCAACATTTATTAATACGTTCCCAGAGAGAGAGAGAGTGTGTGTGTGTGTGTGTGTGTGTGTGTGTGTGTGTGGAGGGGGGTTGGGGCGGGGGGCACGTCAACGATTAAGGACCAGAGAGAACGGCGTAAAAATCCGGGAAATTGACTGAAAATGGAGATTAGAATGGCCCGGAGCATCCAAAATGGAGATTGAATCTGCTCTAAGACGTCCCTTGAGGAGGCTTTACTGCGGCAATTATTGATAATGCCGCCAGCCTCCGCCAGTGACGGTGACGACGACCCAACACTGTACGTTTATATCACGAGAAGTCCCACGACAACTGAAGACGTTGTCCTTCGCTGATAAAGACAACAACAACAGGGTGACACATGCACAACAACAGGGTGACACATGCACAACAACAGGGTGACACATGCACAACAACAGGGTGACACATGGACAACAACAAGGTGACACATGGACAACAACAGGGGTGACACATGGACAACAACAGGGTGACACATGGACACACATGGACAGGGTGACACATGGACAACAACAGGGTGACACATGGACAACAACAGGGTGACACATGGATGACACATGACAACAACAGGGTGACACATGGACAGGGTGACACATGGACATACAACAGGGGTGACACATGGACAACAAAAAGGGTGACATGGACACACAGTGACACATGGACAACAACAGGGTGACATACAACAACAGGGTGACACACACATGGACAACAACAGGGTGACACATGCACAACAACAGGGTGACACATGCATAACAGGGGTGACAACAACAGGGTGACACATGCACAACAACAACAGGGTGACACATGGACAACAACAGGGTGACACATGCACAACAAATGCACAACAACAGGGTGATGGACAACAACAGGGTGACACATGCACAACAACAGGGTGACACATGGACAACAACAGGGTGACACATGGACAACAACAGGGTGACACATGCACAATAGGTGACACATGCACAACAACAGGGTGACACAAAACAGGGTGACACATGGACACAACAGGGTGACATATGCACAACAACAGGGTGACACATGGACAACAACAGGGTGACAATGCACAACAGGTGTTTGGACAACAACAGGGTGACATGCACAACAACAGGGTGACACATGGACAACAAATAGGACAACAACAGGGACACATGGACAAAACAGGGTGACATGGACAACAACAGGGTGATATGGACAACAAATAGGTGACATATGGACAACAGGGGTGACACATGGACAACAACAGGGTGACACATGGACAACAACAGGGTGACATGGGACAACAACATGACACACACAACAGGGTGACATGGACAACAACATGGTGACACATGCACAACAACAAGGTTGACACATGGACAACAACAGGGTGACACATGCACAACAACAGGGTGACAGGTGACACATGCACAACAACAGGGTGACACTTATAGTGCGCCAGAACTAGGTGGATGGGTGTGTGGGGGAGGGGCACACACACACACACACACACACACACACACACACACACACACACACACACACACACCCTTCCACCTAGTTCTGGCGCACTATTAAAGACGTCACACACAAAACGTCATAAGAGACAATAATGAAAGTGTAATATCTCTCTGTGTCAACCCAGGAAAAAAATCAATAGGACACTAGCAATATATTACTAACTATTTCATCTCCGACAAGAGCTTAACTAATATATGTATATAATATTTTGGTGAATAATAAAACAGAAACGCAATAGCGGAATTATATATTATTTCAGCTGGAAAAAATTAATGAAGAAGAGAAGAGAGAAGGCAAAGAGTAAATAAAAAAACCCTCATGATTGAAGCTTGACCCACATAAAAAAACAACGTCACTGAAGCCTCACCCACACCAACAAGACCCTTGTTACTGAAGCCTCACCCACACCAACAAGACCCTTGTTACTGAAGCCTCACCCACACCAACAAGACCCTTGTTACTGAAGCCTCGCCCACACCAACAAGACCCTTGTTACTGAAGCCTCACCCACACCAACAAGACCCTTGTTACTGAAGCCTCACCCACACTGAAGCCTCACCCACACCAACAAGACCCTTGTTACTGAAGCCTCACCCACACCAACAAGACCCTTGTTACTGAAGCCTCACCCACACCAACAAGACCCTTGTTACTGAAGCCTCGCCCACACCAACAAGACCCTTGTTACTGAAGCCTCACCCACACCAACAAGACCCTTGTTACTGAAGCCTCACCCACACCAACAAGACCCTTGTTACTGAAGCCTCGCCCACACCAACAAGACCCTTATTACTGAAGCCTCGCCCACATTAACTAGACCCTTGTTACTGAAGCCTCACCCACAACAACAAAAACTCCCGTCACTGAAGCTTCACTAAAACTAATTAAAAAATACAGTATTATCGCTTAATCCGATAAAAACCATTAATTACAGACTCACTTTTAAAATTTACCAAAAACCCGTCAAATAACAGACCTGCCGCAGTAAGCATTAGTATCTTATTAAACATTCACTTTGAAGAAACTTGTACGTGCAGAATACACTAAAACCTAAAAGGAATACAAGCCTTGTATAAATTTATTACCGAGCCACAGTTGTAATAATCATAACACAGAAATAATATAATTTACTCACTGATTCAACAGTCAATAATAAACCTTTGATGATGAAACGGCTAAGTATAATAATTATTTAACTTTAACTGCCAGGAGATAAGCTGTGGGGGTATTGAGAGTTTAAAAGTCAGAGGTTAATAGCTGTGGGTCTCTGTGATAGCTGGCCAGTCTCGTGAAAGGAACACTGGTTCAGTTTTTGGTTGAATAATAATCACTTTAAGCATATGGCAGCTTACGTTGGGCTATCCTTACTGTTTACTACCGTTTGTATACCTCCACTGCAGCGTGCATTGTATACCTGCACTATGTTATTGTTTGTATACCGGCACTGTCTATATGCCTTTTTTGTATACCAGCCGCTATATATATATATATATATATATATTGCATTTTTATTTTCCCGACTACAATGTTTTAATGTCACTGTTGACATTGATGCTGCACAACTGGACGGGTCGGATGAAATGTGTCAAATTAATTTTGTCTAAACACGAAATATCGAGACTGCAAATATTACCAACGTATAGAAAATACTTCAAAAGTCCCTAAATTCCGAATTTCATTTGACTGAGACATAGATTTCAGATTCGGATCTTTCCCACCGCAGGGAAAGTCGATCTTCTTGAAGAGTGTGATAGCAGGGGGTGGGGGGTTGCACACCGAACCTTGTTCTTACAGTATATATCTCCCCTTCAAATGCTTACATAAACAACACCATTCCTTGGCCTGGGTGCGATATACACACCTGTCTAATATTACATTACCGTATAACGCTACACATCAAAGGGAATAACTGGGTGTGTGTTGATCCCGTCACGTCAGGCACAATAGCTGTCAGCTGGAACACGTCATCCGTAATTCAAGATAATCATGAAATAATATTTCGCGCCAAAGTGAATATATTAAGCTTTCAACCCGGCCTACTGCAGCAGGAGTCAGCTGTGGGGGGAGTATTGGTATAACACAGCAGCAGAGTCAGCTGTATAGGAAGTATACTAGTAATGTAACACAGCACATGGTACACAGCAGGGGGCAGGGCAGGGTAACACAGCAGCAGCAGGAGGCGGGGTAGGTTGAGACAGCAGCAGGCGGGGCAGGATAACAGAGCAGCCAGCAGCAGGAGGCGGGCTGGAGCAGATCTGTTGACACACCTCCGCCACTATCGCCCACCACTTAGTCAGTGTTATCACAAGGCACCCGACCCGCTGTGCTTATCAGCGTGGGGCGCTGCCAAGACAAATACAAGCCAAATGTCTTCTCTGCCCCACAAGTCAAAATACTGGCTTACATATTATTGCTATGCTACTGCAGATAGTGAACACTGTTTTGTTACAGCAACGAGTTAGTGGAATTCAAAGACGTGGTCTAAAAATCTATTGTTCCGTTGTTATTGCTTGGGAGATGAAGTCAAAATACTGTCTTACATATCATTGGTTGGTACTTTTAGTAAGTTAGGTCAAGTTATTATTGCGTGTCAAAGTGCTAGACCGTGTTTCCTCAGTCTATCATCATTATTATCAGTC